CCCCCGAGGTGGGGGGGGGGGGGGGGGGGAAATCTAGTGGTTAGAGCAGGGAGAGTTGGCAGCCAGGGCTCTTAGGTTCCCCTGCTGGGAAAGGGAAGTGAGGTCCAGTGGTTAAATCAAGGGGGCTGGGCGTCAGGGCTCCAGGCTTCTCTCCCCATCTCAGAAAGGGGAGTGGGGTTTAGTGGTTAGAGCGGGGCAAGGCGCCAGGACATGTGGGTTCTATCCCCAGCTCTGATAGAGTGGGGGCTAGTGATTAGAGAAGGGTGGAACTAAGTCCAGAAGACTCAGCAGTTCCTCCAGAGCCGGAGCTAACGCGATCGCAGTTGGGAGAAGAACAGACAATCCGGACCTTCCGCCCTCGGCCACCCATAGTGGGGCTGCTGCGACCCAGCAGGTCTGGGCTCACCCAGAGCCCCAACAGTCAGTATTGAGCCGAGAGAGCCAGTATTAACCCTTAGCTGCCAGATGAACACGCACTGCATTCTGGGACGCAGCAGTGGGATGGCGCTTTGGGAACGCAGACTGTCAGAATCCACACCGAGCACCAGGGACAATAGAAAGGTGGATCCCAGCTGGGGCAGGGTCTGTCTCTTGCTGTGTCTGGGCAGCGCCCGGCACAACGGGGCCCTGATCCCAGCTGGGGCAGGGTCTGTCTCTTGCTGTGTCTGGGCAGCGCCCGGCACAACGGGGCCCTGATCCCAGCTGGGGCAGGGTCTGTCTCTTGCTGTGTCTGGGCAGCGCCCGGCACAACGGGGCCCTGATCCCAGCTGGGGCAGGGTCTGTCTCTTGCTGTGTCTGGGCAGCGCCCGGCACAACGGGGCCCTGATCCCAGCTGGGGCAGGGTCTGTCTCTTGCTGTGTCTGGGCAGCGCCCGGCACAACGGGGCCCTGATCCCAGCTGGGGCAGGGTCTGTCTCTTGCTGTGTCTGGACAGCGCCTGACACAATGGGGCCCTAATTATAGTAATTAGTAGCTGATCTGCTGCCATTCTGATCCTACCAGAATCACTGAGAGTTGAATCAGTACGTGAGGTTTTGTCCCTGGTGGACAAATGTACAATGGCCCGGTGCCACCACGGTAAATGTTGTACCTAAAATTTTATTGCAAAATTGTCTATTTTATTCGTGTTTCAAGTTTGCACATTTGCACTGCAGGGGGTTACTTCTCCCTGCCTTTGTCTATACCTCATGTATTTATCTATGTGTTATTGTTCTAATATATCTGTATATTATATATGTGTAAAGATAAAATATTTCATCCCTGCCAGGGATATTAAATTATATTATCTCTTTTCAGAATGTCTCATTATTACTGGCTCACATCGTCCCACCTGATATTCTCACCCCCAATTCCATGCTCGGTCCAGTGGGCCCCCACCTCAGCTGGTATCCCCACCCCCGCATGCTGACTATGGTACAGACCAATAGGCCCCCACCTAGGCTCGTATCCCCAACCCTCCCATCTTGCCTGGTATCCCCACCCCCATGCTGACTATGGTTCAGACCAATGGGCCCCCATCTTGCCTGGTATCCCCACCCCCATGCTGACTATGGTTCAGACCAATGGGCCCCCATCTTGCCTGGTATCCCCACCCCCATGCTGACTATGGTTCAGACCAATGGGCCCCCATCTTGCCTGGTATCCCCACCCCCATGCTGACTATGGTTCAGACCAATGGGCCCCCATCTTGCCTGGTATCCCCACCCCCATGCTGACTATGGTTCAGACCAATGGGCCCCCATCTTGCCTGGTATCCCCACCCCCATGCTGACTATGGTTCAGACCAATGGGCCCCCATCTTGCCTGGTATCCCCACCCCCATGCTGACTATGGTTCAGACCAATGGGCCCCCATCTTGCCTGGTATCCCCACCCCCATGCTGACTATGGTTCAGACCAATGGGCCCCCATCTTGCCTGGTATCCCCACCCCCATGCTGACTATGGTTCAGACCAATGGGCCCCCATCTTGCCTGGTATCCCCACCCCCATGCTGACTATGGTTCAGACCAATGGGCCCCCATCTTGCCTGGTATCCCCACCCCCATGCTGACTATGGTTCAGACCAATGGGCCCCCATCTTGCCTGGTATCCCCACCCCCATGCTGACTATGGTTCAGACCAATGGGCCCCCATCTTGCCTGGTATCCCCACCCCCATGCTGACTATGGTTCAGACCAATGGGCCCCCATCTTGCCTGGTATCCCCACCCCCATGCTGACTATGGTTCAGACCAATGGGCCCCCATCTTGCCTGGTATCCCCACCCCCATGCTGACTATGGTTCAGACCAATGGGCCCCCATCTTGCCTGGTATCCCCACCCCCATGCTGACTATGGTTCAGACCAATGGGCCCCCATCTTGCCTGGTATCCCCACCCCCATGCTGACTATGGTTCAGACCAATGGGCCCCCATCTTGCCTGGTATCCCCACCCCCATGCTGACTATGGTTCAGACCAATGGGCCCCCATCTTGCCTGGTATCCCCACCCCCATGCTGACTATGGTTCAGACCAATGGGCCCCCATCTTGCCTGGTATCCCCACCCCCATGCTGCCACCCCAGAGCAGAAGCTGACTATGGTTCAGACCAATGTTCTCCCATCTAGGCTGGTATCTCCACCCCCCATGCTGACTATGGTTCAGACCAATGTTCTCCCATCTAGGCTGGTATCTCCACCCCCCATGCTGACTATGGTTCAGACCAATGTTCTCCCATCTAGGCTGGTATCTCCACCCCCCATGCTGACTATGGTTCAGACCAATGTTCTCCCATCTAGGCTGGTATCTCCACCCCCCATGCTGACTATGGTTCAGACCAATGTTCTCCCATCTAGGCTGGTATCTCCACCCCCCATGCTGACTATGGTTCAGACCAATGTTCTCCCATCTAGGCTGGTATCTCCACCCCCCATGCTGACTATGGTTCAGACCAATGTTCTCCCATCTAGGCTGGTATCTCCACCCCCCATGCTGACTATGGTTCAGACCAATGTTCTCCCATCTAGGCTGGTATCTCCACCCCCCATGCTGACTATGGTTCAGACCAATGTTCTCCCATCTAGGCTGGTATCTCCACCCCCCATGCTGACTATGGTTCAGACCAATGTTCTCCCATCTAGGCTGGTATCTCCACCCCCCATGCTGACTATGGTTCAGACCAATGTTCTCCCATCTAGGCTGGTATCTCCACCCCCCATGCTGACTATGGTTCAGACCAATGTTCTCCCATCTAGGCTGGTATCTCCACCCCCCATGCTGACTATGGTTCAGACCAATGTTCTCCCATCTAGGCTGGTATCTCCACCCCCCATGCTGACTATGGTTCAGACCAATGTTCTCCCATCTAGGCTGGTATCTCCACCCCCCATGCTGACTATGGTTCAGACCAATGTTCTCCCATCTAGGCTGGTATCTCCACCCCCCATGCTGACTATGGTTCAGACCAATGTTCTCCCATCTAGGCTGGTATCTCCACCCCCCATGCTGACTATGGTTCAGACCAATGTTCTCCCATCTAGGCTGGTATCTCCACCCCCCATGCTGACTATGGTTCAGACCAATGTTCTCCCATCTAGGCTGGTATCTCCACCCCCCATGCTGACTATGGTTCAGACCAATGTTCTCCCATCTAGGCTGGTATCTCCACCCCCCATGCTGACTATGGTTCAGACCAATGTTCTCCCATCTAGGCTGGTATCTCCACCCCCCATGCTGACTATGGTTCAGACCAATGTTCTCCCATCTAGGCTGGTATCTCCACCCCCCATGCTGACTATGGTTCAGACCAATGTTCTCCCATCTAGGCTGGTATCTCCACCCCCCATGCTGACTATGGTTCAGACCAATGTTCTCCCATCTAGGCTGGTATCTCCACCCCCCATGCTGACTATGGTTCAGACCAATGTTCTCCCATCTAGGCTGGTATCCCCACCCCCATGCTGACTATGGTTCAGACCAATGTTCCCCCATCTAGGCTGGTACCCCACCCCCATGCTGACTATGGTCAGACCAATGGGCCCCCATCTTGCCTGGTATCCCCACCCCCATGCTGACTATGGTTCAGACCAATGGGCCCCCATCTTGCCTGGTATCCCCACCCCATGCTGACTATGGTTCAGACCAATGGGCCCCCATCTTGCCTGGTATCCCCACCCCCATGCTGCCACGCCAGACCAGAACAATGGGCCCATCTAGTCGGGGGTGACCTGATGTCCTGATTTTATAGGGACTGTCTTGGGGCTTTTTCTTACGTAGCTGCCTCTCATCCCCACTCTCTGTCCCAATTTTTCACACTTTCTAACCGGTCACCTTACCTAGCTTGGCATCTCCCCTCCCCACACCCAACCTGTGCTACCCCAATGCCTCTGCTCGGCGCTGGGGAGACCACATCCAGAGCGTTGTGTCCAGTTTGGGGTGCCCCCCACTACAGAAAGGACGTGGACAAATTGGAGAGAGTCCAGCAGAGTAGGGCCCAGGACATATGGACTTATGAGGAGCTGGACTTAGACTCCAGAAGAGAAGAGCGAGGGGGGATTTTACGGCTTCCTTCAACTCCCTGAAGGGGAGGGTCCCAAAGAGGATGGAGAGAGGCTGTTCTCAGTGGTGGCAGATGGCAGAACGAGGAGCAATGGTCTCAAGTTGCAGCGGGGGAGGTCTAGGTTGGATATGAGGAAAAACTATTTCACGACGAGGGTGGTGAACCACTGGAATGGGTTCCCTATGTGGAATCTCCCATCGGTTTTCCCTGTACGCTGAATGATTCGGTGGCCTCCCAAGAGAGATTCAAATGCTGCCCAGCTGATTAGCAGAGTGCCCATGTGTGTCTATGGGTGGTGCACAGCCACACATGTTTTGGTGCATGCACCAAAATTTATTCCACGCACAAATGGAAAAAAATTAGAGGGAACATTGAGCTCCGTCCTTAAAGGTGTTTAAAGCGGGACATGAGAAAGCCCTGGCTGGGATGATTGAGTTGGGGTTGGATCTGCTTTGAGCAGGGGGTTGGACTCAGTGACCTGAGGTCTCTTCCAGCCTTCATCTTCCATGGCCATGTCTCCCGTCGCCACACCGGAGATCGATCTTCTGGCATTTGATTTAGCAGGTCTAGCAAAGACCTGCTCAATCGAACACGGAGGGCGCCTCCAGGCGGCCCCTCAATTCGCAAGGAGTAAGAGAAGCCGACGGGAGCGTTTGCTCCTGTTGGCCTCCCGCCTGGGTGCCGTAAGCCGGCCTCCCGGGTCTCATATAGACCTGGCCCTGTGAGCCAATGATCAACGCTGGATTCCACATGCTGCAACACCACAGATGGCCAGCAGGTGTCAGCCTTGCCTCGGTGCCCAGAGCCTTGCTCTGGTCTTAAGCCCCAGGAAGGGGAGGATGAGAGTTTGGGGGGGTCCAGGGGAGCACAATTTCGGGGGGGCCCCTCTCACCAGGTGTCTCCTCTCTCACCTGTGTTGCACTCGGCACATGCGCTCCTCCACCGTGCAGCGTTCCTCCACCGTGCAGCATGTGGTGCCGGGGAATCTAAAGTGCTGTATCCCACCGGGCCAGTCCGCCCCTGAGCACGGGGCCCGGGACAGCCTCCCCGCTCACCCTGCCCTATATCCGCCGCTGGCCCCAGGAGTGGGATAACGGGGCAGGCAGGCTTGCAGGGCCGTTCCTGCAGATCGCTGGCTGACCCAGGAGAAGGACCCAGGCCCCCGCTCTGCCCTCCCCGGAGGATTGGCTGCATTTAAAATAACCCTGGTCTCCTGGCCCTTTAAATCTCCACCGGCGCCCTCGGTGGGGCTGAAAAGGCTGGTTGGGAGAGACAAGCCCAAGCTCCGCCCCTTCTGCCTGAGCTCCGCCCCTTCCACGTGAGGCCCCGCCCCTCCCCCAGGCACGGAATCGACCCCACCCGGCAATTCTGTCAGCACAACAGCCTGTTCCCCCGACTTTTATCACGCTTGAATCAGCTCCACCTACCCCACCCCTCCGGATGTTTTATTTTAAGGCTAATCTCGGTGGGAGGGGCCTTTGCTAGGGCGGCTGGGTTCCGCTTCCCGAGGAGGGGGTCGTGTTTTCTGCCTTCACATCACCAGGGTGGGGGCCAGAGGGCTGCCCCCTCTCCGCTCCCGTGACTCCAGGAGTTAGGACTTCTGGCCGGGCCGGGGGCGTGGGTGAGTGGGGAGAAGCCAGGAGCAAGTTTTCTTCGCTGGGGCCGAGCCTGGACCATGGAGGCCTAAGACAGAAACGGACGAGATGATTGGGGCAGCAGGGACCAGGCACGATACCGGGCTAGATGGGCCCATGGATCTCATCCAAGTTTAACAGCTGATGCATCGGGGAGCACTCACGCTGGGTGGGACTGGCTGTTGATCCCAGGGGAAATACGCAATTAGGGCCAATTGCCAAGACACCTCCGGGACTGGCTCATCCGGTGCATAAAGATTTGGGGACCCAGCCCTTCCCCGGTGCTACTGCAAGGCCCCTTCGCCCAGCTGGAAAGACGGGACGGTAGCCTGAGTCACCAGCCTGGCACACTCCCTGATCAATACTTCACGCCGGCTCTGAGCCAGAGCAGTGCGTGGGAACAAGATCCCAAACCAGTGCGTGGGAACAGGCCACCGAAAGATCCCGTGGCTGCTGCTCCTTCACCGGTGAGGGGGGTGTCAGGGCCAATGAGGGGTGAGACCGTGACGGTGAACGTGGGCTGTAGAGCACCATCATTCACAAAACTGGGGGGGGTTGGGGATATTCAGGGGGGTATACACCCCCATGGGGGGGGGTGCAGGGAAATCCCTGTGCCTCTTAATCCTACCCCACTGGGGTAAAACAATTTAAGTTTCTTACAGGTACTGTCCTATCACACACATACATACGGGAGGCCTCAGGACAGGGGTGTGTGTGTGGGGGGGGTGATAGGACAGCACGTGTAAGAAATGTAAGTGTGGGGTGGGGAGTGGGGGGACTCAGGACAGG